ATATGAGTTTATTCTGATGCTACATACTGAATTTGATACCCCAAAATGGCACCATTAATAATCCCCCAGTGTCATAAAAAATGATGAGATTACAATCTGTGATAACTAAGAGACTTTGGAATTAATGCAAATTGAACTACTTCTGTCTCTCCTTTCCACATCACTCCTTGCAGAACAATGACAAATGGCTATGATGCTAGACATATCATCTGTAGCAATTTCCCTTTCACTTAACCACATTATTTAAAATGTATAAGACATGTAGCTTGGCTATGTGTACATCATGGTGATTAATGATAGTGTCTGAATATAGTCCACTGAGACCATCAGAACTAATTTTAATTACAGCTTTCACAACTCACCAGATTCTCTATATTTTGAAATACTTTATAGAGAAAACTGTTGAACTTAATATAATGCAAAAATAATTTCTTTTTTTTGAGTTTTTTTTTCTTTAGGGCACATGCACTCAACTGGAGAGAAGGAGAGACAGAGGCAGTGAGAGGGAAAGTGAGAAGTCACCCCCCAGGGAGATGGCCACACTGAAGACCCTTCTCCTCCATGCTCTTCTCAGGATCTTGAGCATGCATGCACACACACACACAGCCTGTTTTAGTCACCGGGTCTGAGACTCAAACCGAAGTCAATCATGTGGGGGTCCAGTGTCATAACTGCTATACCGTCTGCTGGTCCCAATATGAATATTATTGTGACCAAGATAAAGTCTTGTTAAGCTAAAGATAAATGTCAATAAAGAATTTCACTTTAGTTAGCAGCGTTGCATATTTGTAAGCCAGTATCATTGTCTTTTTTTCCTAAAAATCTGGCATACTTTGGTATACCTCAGGAATTAAAAAAGGAATCCTGTAAAGGAGAATCAAGTGCCTCTCAGGTATTAGTTATGCAAAGTTCTTAAGTTCCATTTTTTATTGCTTATAGTTCATTCTGGCTATTTGAAGTAATTTATATTAGCTTCTAATTTCTTACTATTTTAAATTTAGCTCTACAAGTCTTAACATCTGCTGCATTTTGAGCCTAAAGGTAAATTAACAGGTTTTGGAAGTGCCCCAGAAAATTGCATGTCTTTAGAGCTATATTGTAGAAAGTGTGTAGAAGTCTCCAGTCATAAATGGATTCACTGTGGGGCTATATTTTAACTTAAATGGGAACAATAATAGGATGATTACTCATTCAAATATCCTTACATGTCCTGAAGAGCACTAGATTTGTATATGCAACCTTTCAGCAGAAGGTGGTGATCTTCTTTCTAGTCATGGTAGAAGACGTGGCAATTATATGTGGCAATAAATGGGGCCAAATAAAATCTAATGTATATTTTACATCAGAAGATGTTTTTAGATATCCTAGATCTATAAGTTTATAAATAATTCATCAAAAATAGTCATTGAAGCCATGTGCCTCCCACTTACTTGTGTAAAATGTATCATTATAATTTCTTCCCTGATTTTAAAATGTAAAACAAGTGCTCTTAGAGAAATACCCACCAAAATAAATAATCAGAATAACTTTTTTGTTTGTTGGAATTAATAGTACGCATTAAGTATAAAATTTACATGTGAAACACTTCAAGATTGTATTGCACTCTCTCAATCCCAAAGTAAATTTAGATCATCTCAGGCCACATTCTGATTTCTAGAGGTGAGAAATTTGAAGAATTCAAGCAGTGTTGTAAACTGAGAAATATTCAAAGGTGTTTTAAATAAATGCAAATAAAAGGGAAAAGGTAGATCTACAAAATTATAGTTAATTAAATGCATCTTATGAGGAATATTGGAGTGTTTCAGTCAATTCATATTGCATATATAGATTGTAGAATTTGACAGGACTGATTTTGTAACTGAGTAACTTTGAGTTCTGCATACATACTATTGATATTGCTTTAGATAAAACATATAGACAGGATTGGGGCCAGTAGGTGGTATGGTGGTTAAGGTGCTGGACTCTCCCATGACAGACCATGGTTCAAGTCCTGGACCTGGCAGCTTAAAAATCACACCAGGCATGTGTATACATATGTGTGCCCAAAATCCTGAGAGGAAAATGTAAGAAAAGGTATTGTGAAGTGCCCATCCCCCAGGGGATAGGGTGCGGGGATAATTTCTCACTTTCTCTCTCACTGTCTCTCTCTCTCTCTCTGGCTTGTGAACACACCCGATGGCAAAAAAAAAAAAAAAATAGGATTAATTTCACACATATAACTTTCTGTTCACATAAAATTTAGTCTTTACTTTTGGAATAGTCACATTGAAGGGATCATTTTTACAATAATGATTCCTAGGGTCATGAATTGTAACAAAGGCAAGAGAAACCTGCATTCTAGATTGAATGAATGAATAAATAAATAAATAAAAAGTGATAGAAGCCAAATTAATTTTAAAAAAGAAAGCAAGCAAGCAAGAAAGAAAGAGTACCCAAACTACAAGCTTGGCCACCGTGAGTTCATCCTATGGGGTGCCATTCACTTGAGGTGCCATTTAATGAAGAAAGGAAATTGAGTGTAATATTTTGACTCACATGATCAGGAGTTTTTTCATGATTACTTTTCTCTGACTTTCACTTAACCACATTATTTAAAATGTATAAGACATGTAGCTTGGCTATGTGTACATCATGGTGATTAATGATAGTGTCTGAATATAGTCCACTGAGACCATCAGAACTAATTTTAATTACAGCTTTCACAACTCACCAGATTCTCTATATTTTGAAATACTTTATAGAGAAAACTGTTGAACTTAATATAATGCAAAAATAATTTCTTTTTTTTGAGTTTTTTTTTCTTTAGGGCACATGCACTCAACTGGAGAGAAGGAGAGACAGAGGCAGTGAGAGGGAAAGTGAGAAGTCACCCCCCAGGGAGATGGCCACACTGAAGACCCTTCTCCTCCATGCTCTTCTCAGGATCTTGAGCATGCATGCACACACACACACAGCCTGTTTTAGTCACCGGGTCTGAGACTCAAACCGAAGTCAATCATGTGGGGGTCCAGTGTCATAACTGCTATACCGTCTGCTGGTCCCAATATGAATATTATTGTGACCAAGATAAAGTCTTGTTAAGCTAAAGATAAATGTCAATAAAGAATTTCACTTTAGTTAGCAGCGTTGCATATTTGTAAGCCAGTATCATTGTCTTTTTTTCCTAAAAATCTGGCATACTTTGGTATACCTCAGGAATTAAAAAAGGAATCCTGTAAAGGAGAATCAAGTGCCTCTCAGGTATTAGTTATGCAAAGTTCTTAAGTTCCATTTTTTATTGCTTATAGTTCATTCTGGCTATTTGAAGTAATTTATATTAGCTTCTAATTTCTTACTATTTTAAATTTAGCTCTACAAGTCTTAACATCTGCTGCATTTTGAGCCTAAAGGTAAATTAACAGGTTTTGGAAGTGCCCCAGAAAATTGCATGTCTTTAGAGCTATATTGTAGAAAGTGTGTAGAAGTCTCCAGTCATAAATGGATTCACTGTGGGGCTATATTTTAACTTAAATGGGAACAATAATAGGATGATTACTCATTCAAATATCCTTACATGTCCTGAAGAGCACTAGATTTGTATATGCAACCTTTCAGCAGAAGGTGGTGATCTTCTTTCTAGTCATGGTAGAAGACGTGGCAATTATATGTGGCAATAAATGGGGCCAAATAAAATCTAATGTATATTTTACATCAGAAGATGTTTTTAGATATCCTAGATCTATAAGTTTATAAATAATTCATCAAAAATAGTCATTGAAGCCATGTGCCTCCCACTTACTTGTGTAAAATGTATCATTATAATTTCTTCCCTGATTTTAAAATGTAAAACAAGTGCTCTTAGAGAAATACCCACCAAAATAAATAATCAGAATAACTTTTTTGTTTGTTGGAATTAATAGTACGCATTAAGTATAAAATTTACATGTGAAACACTTCAAGATTGTATTGCACTCTCTCAATCCCAAAGTAAATTTAGATCATCTCAGGCCACATTCTGATTTCTAGAGGTGAGAAATTTGAAGAATTCAAGCAGTGTTGTAAACTGAGAAATATTCAAAGGTGTTTTAAATAAATGCAAATAAAAGGGAAAAGGTAGATCTACAAAATTATAGTTAATTAAATGCATCTTATGAGGAATATTGGAGTGTTTCAGTCAATTCATATTGCATATATAGATTGTAGAATTTGACAGGACTGATTTTGTAACTGAGTAACTTTGAGTTCTGCATACATACTATTGATATTGCTTTAGATAAAACATATAGACAGGATTGGGGCCAGTAGGTGGTATGGTGGTTAAGGTGCTGGACTCTCCCATGACAGACCATGGTTCAAGTCCTGGACCTGGCAGCTTAAAAATCACACCAGGCATGTGTATACATATGTGTGCCCAAAATCCTGAGAGGAAAATGTAAGAAAAGGTATTGTGAAGTGCCCATCCCCCAGGGGATAGGGTGCGGGGATAATTTCTCACTTTCTCTCTCACTGTCTCTCTCTCTCTCTCTGGCTTGTGAACACACCCGATGGCAAAAAAAAAAAAAAAATAGGATTAATTTCACACATATAACTTTCTGTTCACATAAAATTTAGTCTTTACTTTTGGAATAGTCACATTGAAGGGATCATTTTTACAATAATGATTCCTAGGGTCATGAATTGTAACAAAGGCAAGAGAAACCTGCATTCTAGATTGAATGAATGAATAAATAAATAAATAAAAAGTGATAGAAGCCAAATTAATTTTAAAAAAGAAAGCAAGCAAGCAAGAAAGAAAGAGTACCCAAACTACAAGCTTGGCCACCGTGAGTTCATCCTATGGGGTGCCATTCACTTGAGGTGCCATTTAATGAAGAAAGGAAATTGAGTGTAATATTTTGACTCACATGATCAGGAGTTTTTTCATGATTACTTTTCTCTGATTCTCCTGTTTGACAATGACATCTAACTAAACTTAACCCTTTTAACTTTTTCTTTTGCATGTTGCTTGGCCTTGTGTGCAGAGTAAGAAACAGGACATTCCTCGAGAAGATCAGGGACCCACAACCAAGAACTTGGATTTTTGGCCCCAACTTATTACCCTAATGGTCACTATTATTGATGAGGATAAAACTGCCTACACACCTGTCCTGAATCAGTAAGTACACTGTTTTGGAAATGAATGCATTCTATTCCAATAAACTGAAAAAAATACATACATATTTTATGAACAGCTTATACTTGGAGACAGTGACAAACTTTTAAAAAAATAGTTCTAGAAAACAAAGTATTTTTGGAAGCCGGCAGGTGGCATGGTGGTTAAGGAGCTGGACATTCCCACATGGTTGACCATGGTTTGAGTCCCGAATCTGGTGGCCTGCTTTCTCACTTTCCCTTTCTCTCTGTGTGTGTCTCTCTCTGGTCAAATTAAAATAAGTGAATGAATAAATAAACATTTTAAAAAAAGAAAACAAAGTATTTTTATATTTTATTAGTAAATATCAATTCAGTAATATTATGCATTTTTAATTTGAGCCCCATAGAGTATAATTCTTAGAATATAGAGATACTTATTTCCCATTATTTGATTTTTAGTTATATTTTATTTATTAAATTTCCTCTTTACTCTGGTACCTTTCATAATGCTCTCAAAGTTTCAAAAGCAGGGGAGTACACTCTCTCAAAACTAAAAGAAATCAAAGAGTTAATGCTATACATATTTCCTTGTAGATTTTATAATAATGAAGAGTTGTTTAAAATTTTGCTTTCAAAATAGTCATGCAAATTGGATTTAACAAATTCAATATAATATTTAATAGAAAAGTCAATTTTGCAAATTATAATCTAAAGTCTGTGCCTCCAAGATAAAATAAATGGATTAAAATTCATGGATGTTCTGTAACAGTCTATAAAAATCATCATTTTATCAAACACCACTAGCTTCAAGACTTTGGGCAAATTATAATTTTCCTGGGTCTCTGTTTTTTATGTAAAATAAAGATATTGTTCCCAGAGTCAATCCAAGTTTAATGTTGCACATTTACATTTTATTTCACACCCTCACATGTAAGACTACCAAAAAAAAAGAAAGAAAGGGACTGGTGATCTGATTAACGAAGAGGGTATCCTGACATGATGTGGGCAAGAAGGGTTGCAGGAATAGACAAACCATGAAGTAGATTACATTTACTATGGAGAGTTGGTTTTATCATGTCTTATATTCTATACTGGTCAAGACAGTTAGCATCAAAGTTTACATTGAATACAATTTAAATTCCAATCACAAAAGCGAGAAATTTAAGTATCCTGAAGGACCGAGGCTATGCTCTAAACCCCACTTTCCAGACCCCAGAAACACTCAGACAGAAGCCATTTTAGATATGAGGTGTGTCCTGCTGTGTTCAGGAACCTATACAACTGAGGCTCTGCTCTAAACCCCATCTTCCAGATCCCAGAAATATACAGACGGTTGCAGAAACCTTTTCTAAGCAAAAATAAATTCACTACCAACTGACTAAAATTTAGAGAGGAAAGACTGCAAGTGAGCTGCAGGGAGAAGGATGGAGATATGCAACTCCTCATCTCCCACACACCTCTGAACTCTCAGCTGAAACCTTGCAGCTCAGCCCAGGCACACGGTGTAATATCCAGTTCCAAAGTCAAAAGTGCCAGTTGCATGGCGAGCATCAGGGAAATGGAACCACAGAGAGATAGTGGATTGCCTCCTCCTGCATACTTCTGAAGCTCAGAATTAACTCCAGGAAAGAAGGAAGAAATGTATAATCCATCACACTTAAGAGGCACAAGAATTATGAGAAACAGAGAAAATATCTCCTCCCCCAAAGGAAAAGAACAACCCTTCATCATCCACATATAGAACAATGGAACACGTGGAAATGTCCGATATAGAATTCATAATATTTATAGTGACAAAATGAGATGCAAGAGATGAGGAACCATAAACAGAATGTGCAAGAGAAAGATCCAAGTTCCAGGAGGTGAGGAAGTTCTTCCACAATCTGAAAGAAGAAATAAACACGATAAAAAAGAATCAAATGGAGCTGCTAGAGATGAAGGCTGTAATACAGGAAATCAAAACCTTCCTCGAAAGTATTAAAAGCAGATTAGACCATGCAGAAGATCGAATCTCAGATGTTGAATATAAAAAGCTCCAATCTAGAAAGAAATCATCTAAAAGAAGAAAATAATCCCCAAAAATGAGAATAATATACAAGAAATACTAGATACCATTAAGTGCCCAAACATCTAGATAATTGATATCCCAAAAGGTGAAGAAACTAATAAGGGCATTGATAAATCTATTCCATGAAATCCTAGAAGAAAACTTTCCAAATCTAGAGAGGCATTCAAATATCCAGACACAAAAAATACAAAGAACCCATAATAGAATCAACCCAAGAAGATCTTATCCAAGGCACATCATAGCCAGATTGGACAAATCCACAGACAGACAATATACTAAAATTGTCAAGAGATAACTCTCAAGTCATTTACAAAGATTATCCCATCAGGCTAACATCAGACCTCTCATCAGAAACAATATGAGCAAGAAAAGAATGGAAAAAAAAATTCAAAGCATTAAGTGAAAAACAATTTCACTATACCCAGCAAGACTATCCTTGATATGGAAAGAAAAGATAAAAAAAAATTCTCAGATAAACAAAACCTGAAAGAATTTACCAACACCAGACAGGTTCTTTAAGAAGTTCTGAAGGGAGTGCTTTGCCAGGAAAACTAAAGACACATTGACAGAAATAAGAACAAAAAGCAACCAAGAAAACAGCCAACGTAAAGCTAGCGACAAGTTCAGAAATATCAATAGTAACACTGAATGTTAACTTCCAGGATTAAGTGGAAACATCAGACCACAGTAACACTGTAAATTCAACAGAAGAGAGATTAATTACATGAGACTGAACTGGTGAAATAGAATTTTATGACTTTGACTAAAACATTATTGATTTTTTTTACTATGCTTTGTTTTCCAGACTTAAGGATTTTGCTTTCTTTTAAGCTATTGATAGCTTTAGCATTTTGTTAAAATGTTGTTTCTTTCTTTATTTAAATTGAAATATAAGCTTTTCTCACTTCCTGATCCCTCTGGAATTGGAAAATATTGGGAGTATTCTTATTTTGTGGCAGAAGTGTTATTTGCGTAAGTTCAATAATACCTGTTGCCTTGAATCAGAAATTGGAAATACTCATTACTGGACAGGGCTTTGACTGGAATGTCATATCTGAAATATAACCAGAAAACTATAGAACTAAGGTAGATTTCAAGAAAGTCAACAGAAGCTCTTAGAAAGATAGCCTGGCACCATAAACAGTTCTGCCTGACAGAGAGGATTAGAGAAGCCATATGAAAGAATTTATACCATAAAATAACCTGTACTTTTCTAACCCAGCACTGTAACCTGTAGAGACTGCAAAAGAGCAGTCACAACCAGAGGATTACCTTGAGGAAGACTTTGAAGGAAGAAAAAGAAACTATTCTTTGCTAGCAGATGGTATACCACAGAATACTAGATAGGGCTTAGTTGGGAAGGTTCATTTGTGAATTGTGTGCTGGGTGTTTGTTTTTCAACAGTTTGAGTCATTGACATGTAAATATTTTCTCAAAAATATTTAGACCATACTGTCGCTATTGTTATAGAGTCACAAACAAAATTATAAAAAATATTATGAAAATTATCTTTTTTTTCTGGGGAGGAGAGGTTTTTGCTATAGGGTGCATGTGCTTGCCAGACAGAGAGAGACAGAGAGAAAGAAAGCGAGAAATCATCCCCTGGAGGGATGGTCATGCCACAATCCCTTCTCTTCCTTTCTCCTCTCAGGATCTTGGGCACGCATGCATGTGCACCCGGCATGAGTTTTAAGCCACCGGGTCCAGGTCTTGAACCATGGTTGACTACATGGGAGTCCAGCAACATAGCCATTACGCTAACTGCTAGTCCCTAAAGTTATCTTTAAAATTCAGTTTTTTTAAATTTTGAAAGTTGTTTATTAACTGTCAAGAACTGTTGAGTCTGAGCAAAACTTTTTTTGAATGTAAAGTAAATGGTTGTGGAAACATGTAAAATAAATAAATATTAAATGTAAAAAAAATGATTCTAATATGTAAAATTCTGTAGAATATTAATAGATAAGATTTTCATTTTAAGTTACATAAAAGAAATTTAAGTATGTTAATTTTCTCTCTTTCCTGCCTCTTAACCACCCTTTTTTTGCCTGTCCCAAATTCCTCTTAATTGTGGAGACAGTGATCCCATCTCTGATATGCAACTCCTGTAACATCCTGTTTGCCTTTGACTTTCTTTTTCCTTTTCTTCTCCTAATGGCCAGTGTCTCCTGATCACCATTCTCTAAAGACTTCACTCATTTATTCTCTTCTGTTAGGAGTAGATCTGTCTTAATCCATGACATGCATTCATCATGGGTTTTGTAGAGGGCTTTTTCATGTCTCTGGCAGCTTTGTGGAATTGATTTACTTTCTAATTCATACTTCAGACTTTCTTAGTGACATAATAAGTTTCCTAAAACTTGGGAGACCAACAGCTAATTTATTTTAAGACTGTGCCCTTAGGCTGGGATAGACCATTTGATAAATGACTATATTGAATTAAAAAAAGAAAAATCTGCCTAGAAGTACCAATTAAAAAGTTAGTTGAAGGGACGATGGGTACTGTGGTGGTTAAGGCGCTGGATGTCCACATGACTGACTACAGTTTAAGTCCTGGACCTAGCAACTCTCTCTCTGGTGAATTAAATAATAATAATAATAAATTATTATTTTAAAAAGAGATTTTTTTAATTAAAGAAATTTATTATTTTTACTAAAGCTCTTAGATGAAGATATAACAAAGAGATACATTATAAAATCATGAAATAAATTAAAATTTTTCAGATTTATTTTTAGCTACATATTGTGAAAAAATTTACAAGATTTTAGTTGAAGTTTATGTAACTGTATTAAAGGAAGTAAGTACATTTAGTTATGGCAAAAGAATAAGCAATGACATATGAATTAAAAATAATGACATTGTTTCATTTTAGATTTTATTTTTAACGTCAGAGTTAGAGCCATTTTACAGTTTAGTCCTATACCACTAAACATTTTGCCAGTTTGGAATTGTGTTT